TCTTTTCTTTTCATTTCTTTTCATTTCTTTTCATTGCTTTTCTTTGCTTTTCATTGCTTTTCTTTTCATTTCTTCTCTTTTATTTTCATTTCTTCTCTTTTCTTTTCATTTCTTTTCATTTCTTTTCATTGCTTTTCATTGCTTTTCATTGCTTTTCTTTTCATTTCTTTTCTTTTCTTTTCATTTCTTTTCATTTCTTTTAATTTCTTTTAATTTCTTTTAATTTCTTTTAATTTCTTTTCATTTCTTTTCATTTCTTTTCATTTCTTTTAATTTCTTTTAATTTCTTTTCATTTCTTTTCATTTCTTTTCATTTCTTTTCATTTCTTTTCATTTCTTTTCATTTCTTTTAATTTCTTTTCATTTCTTTTCATTTCTTTTAATTTCTTTTAATATCTTTTCATTTCTTTTAATTTCTTTTCTTTCTTATAGAAGGAACATTTTCACATAAACTACATTTTTAAATAAATCATATTATATCTTTTCTGCTATTTATGATACATAATAAATGAAATATAAAAATTCCGTTTCTTTCGATGCAATCCATCTGAACTTTTTAGTTCCCAGCGTAATCTTGCGTAATTTATCGATTAAATATTATATAAACATTACGATTATTACAACTTTGCATATTGCATAGTACATAGTGAGTAACTGTGGTTTAAACTAACCTGTTCAAATCACGATGGCAAAACACTCAATTAAAATTTTAAAGTTTCGTGGATTTAACAATTAATAAAAGAGAGATAGGGGGGGCTAAAACCCCTCTTCCTTCAAAAATTGAAAACTATTCATTCACTTTAAGTACCATGATACCAAATGTAATGTTCTCTGATTTATGCAATTTTACTTCATTAAAACAATACATATATATATTGCATGAGTCAAGTTTAAAAAAAATATGAAAAAACGCTCATTCAGTGAAGCCCTATAGTTCAGGGAATATCAAAGATTTAACTGAATAACACAAGTACAAAAAGATATATAGTTCAATGACCCTTCACTTGTTTTTTCCTGATATTACAATAGTTAGAAAGCGCACAAACAAAACTCGTTAAAATTCTAAACTATTCAATAAAACATGAATGTTTGAAATATATTAACAAAGAGAGAATTATGGAGGCTCTGTGTTTGGTACCAGCTGTTTCCTATTTTATATTCAATATATATATATTTATCTATTTGACCTATATACTTAAGTTGTATATGTAGTTCACTAAACTATTCTGGTAACCATATTATGATAACTAAAAGTTTTGTTTAATATTAAACAATGCTCCAGTGGGTTTAATATATCCGGAGTAAGGTTTGGTGCTTACGGAGTGGGTGGAGAATATGAATGGTATGAGAGAGAGGAAAGCGGAGAGCTCAGAGCGAGGGATGATGTTTGAGAGAGAGAGAGAAAGAGAGATCGAGAGAGAGACTGTATTCATTAATTTCTGGGCTAACAATATATCATGAATTAACAGAGAAATTAACACTTTACAAAATATCAACCCTCATAAAACTGTTGAATTCTGATATTTTCCATCTTTTTCTCCTGCTTCATAAATGCGTAAGTTACTTCAAGATTAATAAGGAATATCTTCGTTATTTTTACGCAGACAAAGGTTCAAAGGCTATCGTTGTAAATCGGACATGCCACTCTACACTTAAAACTAAGTCAACAGTCCACACTTAAAACTAAGTATACAGTCTACACTTAAAACTAAGTATACAGTCTACACTTAAAACTAAGTCTACAGTCTACACTTAAAACTTAGTATACAGTCTAAACTTAAAACTAAGTCTGCAGTCTACACTTAAAACTATGTCTACAGTCAACACTTAAAACTAAGTCTACAGTCTTCTCTTAAAACTAAGTCAACAGTCTACACTTAAAACTAAGTCTACATCTACACTTAAAACTAAGTCTACAGTCTACACTTAAATCT